ATTTCCGCCTTTTCCACATCCCACACCGTAGCCGTCCTATCTCCGCCTCCAGCCGCAAGCCTGCTGCCGCTCTTGTTCCACCTGCACCGCACGAGCGCCTGTTCAAAGCCTATGCTCAAACCTTGCAGAGTCTTTTGCAATCGCGCATTGCCTTTTTGACCCGGCAAAGGCTCGGGCGCAAAAGGTCGCACGTCCCAGATTCGGATGCTTCCGTCTGACGAGCTGCTGGCGAGGTGTGTACCCTGAGGAGACAGGGAGATGGACAAGACCGTATCGGTGTGCCCTGGGAGGATGCCGAGAAGAGATTCGCGTCAAAAGACGATCACATCTAGCACATGAGAGTAGGACTGAGTACTCACCCCGCAGTGTGTACAAGATCGACTTTTGAGTCAGGTCATAGATCTGTCGAGGAGTTCGAGATGGCAATGTTGTGTGAGCACGGCGCATCAGTCCGACACGCGCCTGGCGGCGACGATGCTTGCCCGGCAAACGTTTAGCCCTCCTCGGCGCTTTTTTACACCTCACAAGCGCTCTGTGGAGCTACTCACGTGCACATCGTTGTCCAAACCCGCAACATACACCTGACTTCCATCTTCGCTGAATTCGACCGCCGTGACGGGGTACCCGACCTGTATAGCTTCCCTGGGTCTACTCTCTTCCTGCCAGAACCAGATGAGCACACTCCCATCGTCCGCTCCGCTGACGAGCAATTGTGGAAAACTCCTAGTAGAGGCTACGCAATTGACTATGCCCTTGTGTCCCCTAAGCCTTCGCACCTTGGTACCGCTCAGGACTTCCCAGACTATCAGCGTTCCATCGGCTGAGCCGCTAAAGAGCACGGGGGTGTGCGCTGGTGCCACTTTGGACCAGGTCAAGGAGGTGACCGCTTTAGAATGGCCCGTCAAGATTCCAATGTTGGTGTTATCGCCGTACGTGGTCCATATGGCTGCCAAATGTAGCGAGTGAAAGGATAAGTTTTGCGAAATGCTCGGCCTTTCTTACACGCTCCCTACATGTTCGCCCGCTCACAAATAGTTCGATCTGCGCTGGCCGCAGCGATATATGCGCCGTCTGGTGAGAAGGCCACGTCCAATATTTCGGCCTGAGAGGGACGGGCGGGGCAGTACACGTAGTTCAGCGCAAAAAAGTACTCTCCTGCTGTCCGCGTATACCGCAGCTGGCATACTCACTCCGTGAGCTCCATTGAGCGAAACAATGGGAGCTTGCAAGCTGCTAGTCCTCTTGACGCTCCTCATCAACCCTTTGTCCTTGCCTTGCCGATCCGAGCTGATAGCCACCAATGCTCCCGCACCATCGTCCCCTTCGTCCTGCCTTTGTCTCTTGACCAGTGATCCTCCCACGGGCCCTGAAGATGCACCCACTTGCGAAGCGTAGTACGATGCTGCATCACCGTTGGATCCGGAAGCTTTTCGTTTTGCGTCGATCATTGTGAAATGACGAGCAAGTTGGGACGCGCAAGTACGAGGCGTGGTAGACAAGCGCCCCAGGCCAGATCACGCTGCAGCTCCTTGCTATGCTTGCGTGACTGAGTATGTCCTCTCGAAGCTGAAGGTTGCCACGGTGTGCATCCACTTCGCTTCACGGCAGAATTGAGAGCGGCACGAGTACTGCAAGCAAGACGAAATGCAGCAAATAATTTCGCCGACGAGAAGTCGCAGTGAAGAGGGCTTTCAAGAATGACTTTGACGAAGTGTGAAGAGCGGACAAGGCGGAGTGATCAAGGGGACCTTGCGCGCATTCAACCGAGAGTTGTGAGCGACGAATCTGAGCGCAAAGGAGGACATTGGAAGGAGAATGGAGAAGAAAGGTTTGCAGCTCTAAGCTCTCTCTCTCTCTCTCTCTCTCTCTCTACACAATCCACATCGTGTGCATGCTGCATCTCTCCAGCTGGACGATCGATGCGCGAGCGTGCCAATATAAGCCCGAATCAAGAATGTATAGCGGGACGCGTACAAGCCGTCTCACGTGATAGTCTTCTTCTTAGAAGGATCGCGCGAGCTCCGAAAACTCTTGAATTGAAATTTGTGGAACTTTAAAATTCGAACTCAACTCGAAAGTCCTGATTTACAAGATGCCATGCATGGATGCGCCGCTTGTGACTGCCCGCCACGCACACATCCCCGCCTGCTGCTGGCATGGTCATGTCTGGCAAGCACGCACGAGTCACGCATGTAAGCGTATGTGAGCAGCCAGGAGCGTCAGTCACCACGCACGACGCATGAATCATGAATCCCAGCAAGCTTGTCCTCCGAGAATTTATCGCAACAAGCAGCATGTATGCCGTGTGTTGTGTATTGAGCTACATCCGAGCCTAATCGCCGCTGCTCTTGACCGCGACTCTCCACTTCCTTTCCGTAGCCGAAGGAAGGCGGGATGAATGGCAGGGGTGCGTGCGTTCGCGTTCTTTTGTTCCTTGGCGCAAGCTAAGGCAGGGACTGCTTCGACATTGCGGATGTGAAGATCGATAAAGTGTCATTTGCTCATCCTCCAGGGTGAGCCTTCGAGTCAAAATCGGCGCCATACGTAGCGTAGCGATCCGCCGCCAAAGCTGAATTTTGACGCGGATCAGGATTTGATGTGTCGTTGGCGCTTGGCGAGTTGGGAGCAGCGCTGCGGTGGGTCCCATAGGCGTACAGGCGCACAGAGATGAATGCTGCCATGGGCTTTCCTTTGACATTTTAATTTGGTAGCACGGAGCCGACAGTTCTTCACCTGCCTGCCTTGATGCTTTCGAGGTGAGGTCAAGGGAGTATGACCTGCTCTCTGATGATGATAAATAGACTGAAGATGGTGCAAAACGTGCACCGCTGCCACTCCCCGCAAAACCGTTCGTTGACCGTGTCTCCGTCTCTTTCTCCTTGCCAAAGCAATCTGCAACTGCCGCCAGCCAATCCCAAGCTGCTCACACTCTGATCCGACTCGCTCCTCTTCTCGAGTACACAGACCCACTTGGTTGTGCAGCAGTAGCAAGTACGACGACGCGAAAGCAGGAGAGAGAGGTCATGGTGCTGCAACGTTGCGCGCCTCAAATCACACGCAAAATGGTCGGCAGCAGCAATCGCAGAGCACTTGTTCAGAGTCGATCCAAACGTCTGGCGCACAGCTTGACTCTCTCCTCCATCAATCACACCTCCCAACCTCCCGCATCGGACCCTCGTCGATCTCAGAGCGATGCCTGTGCACGTGCGCATTATAGCTCAAGCCTCGGACAAGGCCTGACCTTTGCGCAAATTACCGATATTCCGACTCGTAGCTCGTCCGACCTCTTGGCACAAGTGCCAGCTCCATCTCCATCTCCAGCTCCAGCTCCAGCTCCGGTCACTCCTCGACGAAACACGAATCGCATCTGTACAAGTCACTCGCACTGCAGCAACACGCACGCAGAACCTCCTATGCGTGCTGCCGCCGATCCAAACGCCGCAGCAGCACACTCATACTGTACGCCGCCCAGCACACCTTTTGCAGTCAATTCGTCCAGCAGCTGGGCAGCAGCAGGAGCGCAAGATGCGCGAATGAGCGAGCTATGCTACGCGCCTCGCAGACCAAAACCAAATTACACTTCCAAACCCATCTCCAGCTCCAGCTGCATCTGTCCCTGTTCCCCTTCCTTTGCCTCCTCACATTCCCAAGCCCATCCACACGCCTATCAGCCTCCGCAATCTCCCACGCTTCACCTCGGTCGACGTAAAAGCCATGCAACACGTCACGATGGCAAGCGTTGCCAGGCTGCGACGCTTGCCCTCCTCGACGACAACGACGAACGAGTTGGCACTTGAAAAAATTTCGCCAGCTTTGATCGCATTGCCCCCCCGGGATCTGATGCGCGTCCGGGCAAAGCATCAGCAAGCAAGCAAGCAAGCAAGCAAGCAAGCAAGCAAGCAAGCAAGCAAGCGAGCGAGCAAGACCGCTCTTCGACAACTTGATCGGCATCATGCGTCCATCGCCATGCTTCGTTTGAGACTACCAAGAGACTGGGCAATAAAGCGCCCCCCCACGCATGATCGCCCAAACGTTTTTTTTTTTTT